GGTAGTTTTGAACTGCTGACCTTGAGGTTAGCAGCCCAACTCATAACCACTACGCTACTAGAGCTCCTTTGAGGGCCACATAAGGCCCTCAAAATCATTTGGTCTGGCCCTGTGAAGGCAACCACAGTTCCAGCCATCACATTGCTGTTAAGTGCTGTTGAGTTGGTTCCGACTCATAGTGATCCTGTATAGGGTTTCCAAGGAGTGGGTGGTGAGTTTGAGCCACAGGCCTTGTCCAGACTGACCTTGTAGTCCAGTGCTTTATTGCACAGTGTCACATATTACAATTGTTAAGTGCCATTGAGTCCGTTCCAACTCATGGCGACTCTTTATAGAGTTTCCATGGAGCAGCTGGTGGATTTGAACATACAACCATGCATTTCAAACTGACCTCTCAGTCTGGTGCATTATCCCACAGCACCACACCAGGACTTCTCACATTATGTTTTTGTTGTTAAGTGTGTTCTTCGAGTCTGTTCCAACTCATAGCAACCCGTTGTTGTTGTTGTTAAGTGTCGTAGAGTCAGTTCTGACCCACAGTGACCCTGTATAGGGTTTCTGAGGAGCAGCTGGTGAGTTTAAACCGCTGACCCACTGTGATTCATATGGCTCTGCAGTCTGGTGCATTAACCCACAACGCCACACCGGGACTCATTGTTGTTGTTAAGGGGTGAGTTGATTAAATGTTTGACCAAATATAGCAGGCTAATTTTTAAGTGATTATTTATATGCTTCTCAAATGATGTTATAAATATACAAATGGTACTTGACAGAAAAAAAGTTCCCCACCTCTCTTATACAGCCTTGTTATGAGTTGGAACCAAGGTACTTGGCACTTAACAACAATTTTTTCCTAATGGAATAGGGAGTGAGGGGGCCCTGCCCTTAATGATGATCAAAGGATATGGGGAATTCAGAGCTGACGGCTACCACTGAGCTTCTGTTAAGTTTGGCTGGTCTTGAAAATTCATGACGAGTTGTTAAGCGGCAAAGCAGATTGGGTCAGAACAAAGTGAGGACTTGCATCCGAACAGGAAGCCCATAGTGGGTTCTTGAGCTAGTTTTGGGAAGGGTGATCTAACAGGTGTGCGTGGGGTGAGTCTAGGAGGGAGCCTAGACCATTGGAGTTGTCTCTGAAAAACAGTGGGACAGAGAAGAAGGGTGTGCTTAATAGACAGCCATTCTAAAGGTAGAACCAGTGAGGCCCAGCACCCAACTGGATGGGAAGTGGGGCTAGTGTGCAGGCTCAGAGCCCGAGTGACCCAGAAGAACCTGCAGGGTACAGGGAGGGGCCCTTGTGGGCTTAGCTACAGGCTGAACTCGTGTGTGTGTGTGTGTGTGTGTGTGTGTGTGTGTTGGGGCTGGGGAGGGCAGGAATTCTGTGGCACAGGGTAAATGGAATGTAGGTGGGACTGTTCAGTAGACTGTGGCTAGAGTCACACTCATAAAATTTGGAGGCCGGCTATTCATTAGTTTCTGGGTTAATGCTGTTTTCCTCTAATACTATGGCATTCTGCAGTGAGCTTTATGCAAAAGTAACTAGAGTCTTTCATCACAGGTTATCATTATGTTTTCATGCTTTTTTTTCCTACACGCCAAGAAATACTAACAGCTGTCAGTTAATGATTGAAATGGTCCTCTTCTAGTTCTGACTGAAAGCGAAAGAAAAATCCAGATCATGTATCAAGCGTTTTTTTAAATAAAATTTCTTGTGGGATATGTTTATATTACCTCTTACTGAGATTTTAAATTACTAGAGTATCTTATTCTTGAGAACCTTCTGGTGAGTTCTTATTTATCCTCTGTTTTAGTGAGAACCCTTTTGATTATAAATGACTTCAACCCAACTCAAGCTGGCTTAAACAGAGGAATGTGTTGACTTGGCAACTGAAAAGGAACCAGGAAGTCCAAGCATAGTTTTGGCTTTATATATGGCTCCACTCTCCCAGGGTCAGCACCAAGGGTGGCCCAGGAAGCCCAGGTAGATGTCCCAATGGAAAGAAAACTGCTCTTTCCCAGTAGTGCCAACTAAGTTCTGGCTGGGATCTAGTCTCTTTGGTCCAGTTTGGGTCATGTTTTCATGTTCCCATCCCTGAATCAATAATGGGGAGAGAAGAGGGCTGATGATTTTGGCCTTGGAATTCAGGGATTGCTGAGGCCCGGGAAATGTGCCGCCTGTCCATGGGGACTGAGGAGTGCAGCATTGGGGACATCAGCATCATCATCGAGAATTGAGATGCAGGTGCTGTTTTCAAAACAGGCAAAAATAGACGTCACAACCCCACCCTCCCTCAGAATGATGATACTCAGCTACGTACAAAGGTTCACTGGAAAAATTGTGACGTAAAAACAATCATCCCACCAGTATGGAAATAGATCCTTTGAATTTGGTCATTCAGGAATGCTCTTGAATGTACTTGAACTTAATGTAGTATTTTGTACTTCATGGCTTGCTTAACTTGCTAACTTTTGGGCTATACATTAAGATCAAGGGAATTTTATGCCTTTAGTCAACAGAGGAGCCTATAAAAATGTGTAACAAGGAGATGGGGCTTGATGGCGGATAGGGTAGAGGTGCTGTGAAGCTTTCCATCGGCAATTACACAGAATACCAGGTGAAGCAGGTTCGGGGAGAGCTCCAAAACTCTGAAGCACATATGTATGAATATTTGAAAAGTTTGAAGGCTTATAGATCGTGAAACTTGTAGAGGAAGCAAGAAATCTCAGACTTTCCAATCTGCGAGGCTCAGCGGCCCAGAGCCGACAAATCGGGCAAGACCGAGTGACAAGACCAAGCGGGGGAGCAAGCAGACTCCCTACATATTAATGCCTGCAGGAAGCTTGGAGACAAAGGTGGACAATATGCTTTGTTTTGTTCTGATTTTATTTTATTTTATTTTTTAAATATCCATTAGCCTCTCACTGTCTGCACATCTCCATTCTGGTGACTAGAGGGGGTGCCTGAGTGAGTGAACACTCCCCACCCCCACCACTGGTGAGTTCTTCGGGCACGCATGTGCACAGATTCTCTCAGTGTCTAAAGGGCCCAGTCCCTGCTTAAAATCAACCTCAGCGCAAAACGGCCACAGCCAGCCCTGAACCGTTTATTAATAGGGAAAAGGCCAGAAATGGGGTTGTGGAGTGGAAGAGAGTGTAAAAACAAAACAGGCCAAAAATTAAATCTTGCATCTTGAAATTTATTAGGTGGTCTTGAAGGCAAGAAGCTGAAAGATGGCTTCAATGGCTGGATGTTCAGAATTCAACTAGAAGAAGAAAGGAGGGAAAAAAGAGTAATCTGATACAATTTGATGAACTTGACCTACACCTATGGATGCAGTAACTCAAAAGAGGGAACAAATCTTTACAGTGAGGATCATTCCCACCCCCTCAATACACCGGGTAGACAGGGCTGGGCAACTTGGACATTGGCTACCCAAAATGGAGGGGCTACAAAGGCAAGAAGTGACTGGCTTACAACCTTTCAAAAGTGAGCCTAGATCCAGAGGGCATGGAGAAAGATAGACTCTCCACAGAGTAATATCCAGTCTGTCTGGGCGGGGCTGGTGAATGGGGATGGCTCTCATGTGGCACAATAGTGAATAATTGCTATCAGGATTGACTGTGAGGGTTGGAAATGTAAAGGTAAACATTTTGTAGCAAAACGAGGGTAGTGGTTGACTTTGCAGTCCAGGAGCAGAGGTCCCTGGGACCATCAAGGGAGAAGAGCGGAATGTGGTACCCTACCCAGAAAAGCAGTGATGCCAGAGATGGAGGCAGAGACGATGATGTGTAGGGAGGAGGGAACAGTCGCTGGAAAAGGATGTCATGCTGAGTAAGATGGAGGGCCAGAGAAAAAGAGGAAGACCCCCATTGAGATGGATCAGCCAGGTGGCATCATTGATGGCATCGAGTGTGGCGGTGGTAGTGAGGTTGGCCCAGGATCTGACATTGTTTCGTTCTGCTGTGCATGGGGTCACTATGAGTCGGTTCCAACTTGATGGCACCTGACAACAACAACAACAAGGGATGGAGTAGCTGGGAACTCTAGACCCAGAGAGGGAGAGGAGCTATGTGCTTTGACGACCGAGGGGCAGGCTTGCAGGGTATACCCTTTGGTTGGTTGCTGATGCATGGAGGAGATTGTAATCATGGCAATGAAACAATATATGATAGGATGAATGTAAAGCCAATGTTCTCCCATATAAACTATCACATAATTGACAATAAAACATTTAAAAAAAAAAAAAAAGAACATGTTATGGGTAGAATTGTAACCCCAAAATTTATGTTTAAGAACTAACCCCCAAGAAAAGATTCTTATGATTCGATAGTGAGTAATTCTTATCATGACTAATTACAACTGTCACAACTATAAAGGTAGAAGTTTTGTTACATAAAGGGTGAAGTAGTTAAACTTACATTCCAGGAACAGAGGACCCTAGGACCATCAAGGGAGAAGAGCACAAGTGGAATATCCAGAGAAGCAGTGACACCAGAGATGGAGGCAGAAATGGGGACATGGAGAGAGGGAGCAGCTGAAGACTCTAGACTCATGGAAAGAGAGGGACTGAAAGCTGGCAGTCAGGAGGCAGACTTGTAGAACGTGCCCTTTGGTGGTTTAAATTATTGTATATGCCTGAGTGGTAAAAAAAAAAAAGAGCTAAAATGAATAGAGAGAAATAACTGTTAACTAATGGTACATGGAAGGGATTATAATCGTTGTAATGAAACTAAGTATATGATATGCTGAATGTAAAACTGATGATCTGCCCTGTAAACTTTTACTCAATTTGCAATAAAAACTTTAAAAAATAAGTAAATAAAAGGACTAACCCCGCCCCCCCCACAAAAAAAAATGTGTAACGAAAAACTGAAGTGAAGGAAATATTCAGACTATGTTGTGAATTACCATGTATGTAAATGAAGAATCTAACACGCTCAATGTTACTACATTCCTTTAAAGAACTTTCATTCTTTTCTAAACAGCCCTACTGTGCAGAATGCCCCACAAAATTGGATTTGTCATTGTCAGTTCATCTGGACATGAAGACGGCTTCAGTGCCAGGGAACTAATGATCCATGCGCCAACTGTTAGTGGATGGAGGTCTCCCAGGTACTAGGGTGGACTGAGGGGCCGGGAGGCTGGGGTCTGACATGGGGCCTGTCTCTGGTGTGACTCTGAGTGTCCTTTCATTCTAAGCCTCTATGTTATTATAACTCTGGATTTTCGCATTTTGCATTTTTCTTTAAAGAAAGTTAGTTGGAATCTCACACACACACACACACACACACCCTTATTGCATTAACCCATGCACACTTAAGAAAATGTGCAAATATAGAAGAGTAAAAGAATGAAAACAATCACCCGTACATCATTGCTTAGTCAGATGGGAGATGGCCTACTGGGTCTAACATCCATTGGCTTTCTGCACAAAGTGTGTGTTTGCCTGTTTCTCAATATTATACTTCTGCTCCTATGGTAAATGATTTTGTATCTAACTACTTTTGTGTGGCATTGTAGGATAAGCATTGAACTGCTAACCAAAGGTTGATGGTTCAAACCCACCAGACTGCTCCTTGGAAACCGTATGCAGGGTCGCTATGAGTCAGGACCTACTGGACAGTACTTAACAACCAAGCATTACCCAAAAAATGTCTTTTCAAAGTTTTTCTGCACCTATATAAAAGTGTTAATTATATGATTGTTCGTTTTATTATTTTTTTGAAACATTTCTCCTGTTTACCTCTGTTGTTTTTTCCTAAGAGTCTCCAATTTTAGCCAAAGGCTGAAGAGTCCTGGTTACTGAGTGGTTTGAACGTCCGCTCAGACTGTGCACGCTCAGAACACACTCCTCCCCCCCAGTACTGAGCTGCAGCCTCACCTCTCTGTCCCTGTCCTCTCCTGGCTCTTACTGTTCTTCATGACTTGTTTCCAACTCTGAGTAGAAGTTACTATTTATTCCTGAGTCATGTGTGTGGAAGCATTGTGACATTTTCAGCAGAATCCTGTAGTTGTCTTGCTTTGACTCAGAAGACAGGTTGCTGAAAAGTTGAGTGTCAGTTACATTTCACATCAAATCCTGTTTTCCTGTTGGAGCTTTTGAGGGAACCCAAAAAGCAAAACCCCCTTTCCCTGCCTAAGTGGTGAATGAATTGAGAAATGAGGCAAAGGAGTAAAGCCATGAAGAATGTTTAATCAGTGTCAGTGAATTAGACATGTAGAAATCGCTGAATCCGTGAAGGTTTTGTTGTATTTATTTTTCACCTCATACACACACACACATACACAAGTAAGCCTTACTATTCACAGTGAGCTCTGGTAATTGACTCCATGAACAATTGCTTTCTTTGCCATCAGACCAAGAGAATTCGATGATGCCTGACTACCATTACTGAACCTTTTAATCAAAGATTCTATGGAAGAATCCTGGTCAAAGGGGGGGAAAATGGAGAACAGAATTTCAATTTCTCACGGGCTCCAAACTTTCTGGAGACATTGGAGCTGCAGGAACCCCTCAAACTATTTCCTGGAGATATCTTTAAAGCTTAAATCCAAAATATCCCTTAAAGTTTTCTTAGAACCAAAGAAGGTTGTTGCTAGGTGTTGTTAAGTTGGTCTTATTTATAGCTACCTGATGCTCAACAGAACAAAACACTGCCTGGTCCTGTGTTATTGGAGCTATCTTACGACCATTGCTATTTTGGAACCCATTTTTTGCAGCCCCTGCATCAATCCATCTCATGGAAGGTGTTCCTCTTTGACACAAGGTCAGCAGTTCAAGCCCACCAGCCACTCTGCAGGAGAAAGATGAGGCTTTCTGCTCCCACAAAGATTTAAAGCTTTTGAAACCCTATACAGGGTTTCTATGAGTCAGACCCGACTCCATGGCACTTAACAACAAGTCGACCAAGCATGATGTCCTTCTCTAGAGACTGGGAAGTCTTCTTAAAATCAATTGTTTAGCTCAAGTAGTTTTAAAAAAATCTGCCTTGAGCATGATGCTCTTTTACAAGCTGTCCATATGGGATCAGAATGCTGTTATGGCATGGTAGGATAAGCCGGGGACCACAAGGTTGGTGGTTCAAGCCCACTAGCCACTCCTTTTACAGCATCGCTGTGAGTCGGAACCAACTCAACGGCACTGAACAAAACAACGGCAATATAGAATCAAAGCAACAAACCAAAAGACTAGCCAAAAACAGGGGACAATGAGTTTATATTAATGGGTTAATTATATTAACTCAGAAAAGCTACTGAGAGAAGGTAACCCACGGTACTGAATTGTGCCTGTAGAAAGGCTTGAATTGCTGTCCACTTTGCTGTGTATATTATCAACAGCAGCCACCATTTTTTAAATGAAGAGAGCGAGCCGTGAACTGTGAGCCTCCTGGAGCTGGCTGAGAACAGGAGGTGAATTGAAGAGTAAAGCCTTCGGGGATCAAAGTCACACCTGTGCTGACACTGAGGCAGAAGGTGGCAGGCATCTCCTAGGCCAAGCCCCCCACTGGCGAAGCAGTGCTGGGGAAGAGCCCACCTTTCTCCTCAAGGTGTGCTTGCTCCCCAGGTTAATGCAAGGAAGGGCCCAGGAGCTGTGGGCCCACAGGTTTATGCACAGCGAATGCCCCTTCCCGCCCCAGCATTTCCATCTACAGAGGTCCTGAACCCTATTTGTTCAGTCTACATGTGTAGATTATAGATACAGACCAGGTACTAGACTGAGCCCTTTTGGGTAAGATTTATAACCGCACTAATCTGAGTCTTGTTCAGGGCCATGGTGTTTAAGGGCATAACCTATACGTGTTGCAGTAGCACGCTTCAGACAGTATACCAGAAAAACGTATTTGCCCTCGTTCACTACACAGACGAGTGCTGAGCTGCTTCTCCCAGGGGCCTCCTGAGATCAGCGTAGGAAGGAAAGCAGCAAAGGAAAATGTCCTCAAATCAATTCTCCCAAAATCAGGACATGGTTCCCTGTAGTACCTGCTAAAGAAGGTGTGCTCAGGGACACAAACAGACACCACTTCAGTGGGACATGGCACTGGGGGCAGTCCCTCCAATTCCAAAGAACCTAACGTCTTTAGATGAGACACGTCTCCAAGGAGCTTCAAGTCTCCACCGACTAGAACCTTTCTAATGCCCAGTCGTGTTATTCAGGGAGAGAGCTGTAACTCTCACCACTTACCTTGAAAGGGAGAGGTACAGAAAGCCATTCAAATAGGGTTTCACTTTAAAAGCAGCTTAAAGAGGATTTTTGATTCATCTATAAACTGTTTATCAGCTATATTTGAATATTTAAGTATTCAAGCCCTTGTTTTTTAAGGATTTTTGTAAGTATATTACTTTCAGTTTTCATTTGTTGTCTTCATTCTCTTTAAGCAATTTTGGAGCTTTGTGGATTGCTTTTTTTTTTTTTTAAGTGGATGAAAGGCCTTTTAAAAATAGTAGATTAGTAAGTGTTTTTGTTATCTAGTGCTACTATGGGGTCCTGGTGTGGCTCTGTAGGATAAGCACTAGACTGCTTGCTAACCACAAGGTTAGCACAGCAGCTGTTCAAGAAAGGTGGTTCCCTGGGAGCTCTTCCCACAAGCAGTGGGGAGGACACTAGGACATTTAGAGGCGGGAGATCATGCCTGGCTTCCTGGCTGGTGTGGGCCACTGGGTGGCATGGGAAAGGCTAGGGCAGGAGACTGGTGGGGGCAGAGTGGGGCGGCTGGGGTAGGAAGCTGTGACTCATCCATGTTACGGATAATGCCTTTTACATATCTAAATCGACGTGTCTAGTGTCACCTAGGTCTATAGGCGTCAGGCTGTGTCGTTGGGATTCCTCAGTGCTGTCAGGCTGATAGAGTCACTCCTGGTTTGAGTAGAGAAGAGAGTGGGAACCTGGGTAAAGGAAGGGTCTTCATTTGGTAGGAGAACCAGGCGTACGTGATGCCATGGACACTTGGTCGAGCAAAGCATCTCAAGGGATATGGGCGATTGTGTTGATGGCTCCTGAAAGCTGAGCAAGGTCAGGAGCAGGAAGAGCTCCTTGGACTTGGAGGTCAGCGTGATCTTAACAAGTGTAAGGGGCCAGGGCCCTCCGGAGGGGCAGGTGAGGCGAGTGCTGGGGGAACAGGAGATGAGAGACTAGAGGCTGTGACTGCAGACTTGCATGAAGCTTTGCTGAGAAGGGGAATTGAGAAACGGGGATGGAAGCAGAAAGATTTAGGGTCACAGGGGATGGAAGCAAGAGTCCTGCTATGGGGCTGCAGGATAAGCGCTGCACTGTTAACCATAAGGGTGGTAGTTCAAACCCACCAGCTACTTCTCAGAAACCCTATACTGGGTCAGAAGCAACTCAACAGCACTTAACAACCACAGCAATTTCTTTTAGAAGGATCAGCATGAGGCTGGTCCCTGTAAGGTGGAGGTTACAGCTATCCCAAATATCCAACTTTTCCAAAATGTTATTGTTGATATGGTTAAGTGTCGTCAAGTCGGTTCCCACCCACAGCGACTCTGAATACGGTTTCCAAGGAGCAACTGGTGAGCTTGAACCCACTCCCTAATCCCTGACGTCAGCCACCACTTCTCTTGAGGGCCCTCCCTCAAGTCCCAGGGTTCAGCAGTTCGCTGCAATGTCTCACAGAACCCATAAACATCAAGGAAATGTCGCATAGCGGTGGAGGCTGGCAAGTCCCAAATTCATAGTTCCTTCCAGCTCTCTCTTGGATAGCCAAGTAAAGGAGCACTCCCCGAGTGTGTGTATAGTAACAGGAATGACCTACAGAGAGAACCGGGCAGGGACTAACTGGGCTGCCGGGCAGCACAGAGGCTGTTAGGAGCCTTTGCTGGTCGTCCCATCCTCAGTGTTCCCTGTTCCAAAGGCTGAGTGCCTCTCCACCATGGTCATATATGGCAATGTGAGAGCTTTGCTGACTGACTTGCTCTCTAGCTCATGCCTCTCCTTAGAATGTCTTATATCAGTGGAGTTCTGATACGGCACTGTACACTAAGCACTGGACTGCGGACTACAAGGTCAGCAGTTCAGACCCACCAGCTGCTCCTTGGTCGCTGCAGGTCACTATGAGTTGGAACCAACTCAGTGGCACTGAACACCAACAAAGTAAAAGCCAAAGCTCCAACATAGACCCTCTAGTAGGCGCTCTTCTCTACCACTGAACAGTTATTCTGGTGTGCCACCAGAGCAACGTATGGGGTTTCTGAGGAGTGGCTGGTGGGTTTGAACTGCCGACATTGCAGTTAACAGTCAGTGCTTGTCCTACAGCGCCACACCAGGGGCACGCAGTAGATTTATGAAGTATGGATGGTTGGGTTTATCTTGTAGCTCAGGATTCCACAAGGAAGCCGTTTTCACCAAGGGTTTTGGTTCCTGTGGAAAGTCCTTTGGTTCTGATTTCCCCATGAACACGGCCTCTTAAATCCATTGCTTCATCTGCTGATCAACTTGAAATTTTACTTCAAACCATTTCCTCGCTGCCAAGAGTATGCTGCACACTGAGTAGCAGGCAGATTGAATCACATCTCAATTCCAAGCTTCAGCTCCAACTGTGAAGAGCTTGAGAGAATCAGAATCATGTTTTAGTCATCTTTGTAGCTGCAGCACATAGCAGATACTTGGCAGATACTTATTACACGGAAGAAGGGGATGGTAGCATCCAGTTATTGTTCAGAAAGAAATAAAAATGTATTTGCTTTCAGATTTTGCCAGTTTCCACAAGAAATTGTTCTTCAAATGGTAGAGAGATGTCGAATAAGAAAACTGCAGTTACTTGCTCACCAGTATATGATTTCAAGTAAAATTGAGTTCTACATTAGTGAAAGCTTGCCTGAATATTTCGTTCCGTACCAAGCTGAGCGATTTCGAAGACTGGGGTAAGAATGAAATTTAAAATTTATTACAGTAACAATGCGCCAGGCTAATTCTATTCCGAGCAATTAAAAGCTAATGAATGGCCCCTTACTGTTGACCTAGATTACATACATCTATTTGGTTCACAATTCTCCACGTTTTAGACACCTGTCTCGTATTGAATGTGCTTGTTACATCAGTCGTGTTCAACATTTCAAACGCAAAACGTTTCTGAAGAATTTGACTTCCAGGCTGACCTTTTCTTCCAAGTTTATGTATTTATTTTTTTGATTATCCTAAAATTTTTCTTTTAACCCATTAAGTTCAACAGGGGTCATTTTGTGTACTGGCACATGTCCATGTGAACATGGGTCTTCAGTTGGGTCTCCCTCTTGCAGTTACGTCTCTCTGTGTGATAATGCAAAGACGGGCTGCAAAGCCCGGGAACTGAAATCAGTGTATGTGGACGCCGTTGGACAGTTTTTGAAGCTGATATTTCACCAGAACCATGTCAATAAATACAACATCTATAATCAGGTAAGCCTTGGCTTTACTCCCCACTGTCGTAGCGTAGTGGTTATGAATTGGGCTGCGAACTGCAAGGTTTGCAGTTTGAAACTACCAGGAGAAAGATGAGGCTTTTTGCTCCCGTAAAGATTTACAGCCTCGGAAACCCTGTTCAGGGTCGCTATGGGTCGGAACCGATTCGATGGCACTTAACAACAACATAGCCTTTTCTTAAATGATTTTCACATTTTTCTCTTGAAAGTATGCCTTTTATGGAAGAATGTTAAGCTCTAGGTCTGTGCTGGCCAATGCAAGAGTCCCTGGCCACATGTGGCCCTTGTCCCCTGGAATTGTGGTGTCCCCAATAGGATGATGTCAGTGTGAAAGTACCCTGGGTTTCAAAGGCTGCATACAGAAATGAATGTTAAGGTTCTATATCAGTTACATGTTGAAAATGATCAGACTTTAAATCGGTTGTGGTTAGGTGCTGTCGAGTGAGTTCCCATCCTTAGGGACCCCATGAACAACAGAATGAAGCACTGCCCGCTCCTGCACCAGCCTTACAATTGTCATGTTGAAACGCATTGTGTCAGTCCATCTTGTTGCGGGTCTTTCTCTTCTTTGCTGATCCTTTAAATATATTGAATATATTGGTTTAAATTGTATTGTTAAAATCAATTTTACCTGTTTCTTTTTAAAGTGTGCCTACTGGTTGCACAGTGGGCAGCTAACCACAAGGTCAGAAATTTGATCTACCAGCCCCTCCACTGGAGAAAGGTGAGGCTTTCTGCTCCCGTAAAGATAGACAGCCTCGAGAATCCTATACGGTGTCACTATGAATTGGAATCAACTCACTGACAAATCATCACCACCATCCACACTCCACACCAAAAGCTCACTGCCTTCTAGATGATTCCTGCTCCAAGCAACCCCTGCTAGGGTTTCTAATGCTGTCAGTTTTTCCGGAAGCAGAAATCCTCATTTTTCTCTTATGGAGCAGCTGGTGGATTTGAACTGCTGACCTTGTGGTTAGCAGTCCAGTGTTTATCCTACAGCACCACCAGAGCTCCTTAATGTGCCTACTAGAAAACTTAGAATTCTGTAAGTGGCACACATTAGGTTCTGTTGGGCAGCACTGTTGTAAATGACCCCTGGTATAAGTTGGAGACGTGTAATGTTTCATGCAACCCCAAATCCTCCAGATCCTGACTAGTCTTCTTCCCTTTTCCCTCCTCTCCTCTCTCGCTTTCTTTCCTTTGATTCTTATTTTTGTTCATGATCATTGTTGTTGTTAAGTGCCATCGAGTCGGTTCCGACTCACAGTGACCCTTTATTAGAGTTTCCGAAGAGCAGCTGGTGAGTCTGAACTGCTGACCTTACAGTTTAAACCGACCTTGTGGTCCAGCTCATTCACCTGCTCTGCCACACCAGGACTCCGGTATTAATGATTCTCTTAGGTAGTTTCCATATTCTGTGGGGTCTTCTTCCTTTGACAAATGGCACAAGTATGGATCCCTTCCGGTCCATTGTCCAGGTAGCTGTTTTCTAAACTGCTCGGCATGGACAAGTGAGCATCTCCAGATCTTCATGCGTCTGTTGAAACTTCTCAACTGGTATTCTGTTAATTCCGGGATCCTTGTTAATTGCAAATGTCTTCAACACAGCTTAGACGTCTTCCTTTAGTACTGTCAGTTATTGATCATAGGATACCTCCTAAAATGGTTGAACTTAGTCCAATATTTTTACTACAGTGACTGTGGATTTTCATTTGCTGCTTCCTGTGGCATTCAGTATTTTGCCCATGTTGTTGTTGTTGAAGTGCCATGAAGAAGGTTCCAGCTCAGAGCAACCCTATACAGGGTTTCCTAGGCTGTAAATCTTTGCAGGAGCAGAAAGCCTCATCTTTCTCCCCTCAGAGTGACTGATGGGCTCAACCTGCTGGCCTTGTGGTTAGCAGTCCAGTGCTTACCCTGCACTCCCACTGCTCCCCTGACTGGGAACTGAATCATCTGGGCCAGGACAGGGGGATCACCTAACCCTAACCACTAGGCAACCAGAGGTCATTGAAAAAGAGGAAGACCCCGGTGAGATGGCTTGACACAGTGGCGGCAGCAGTGGCTCAAATATAGCAACAACTGTGAGGATGGCACAGAAACAGACAGTGTCATTCTGCTGTCCATGGGGTCGCAATGAGTCAGAAACTAACTCCGTGGCACCTAACAATAAGAACAGGCCACCAGGAAGTGTCATTTTGTCCATAGAATCCTTCAGGATGGCAAGTCAAGTCTTGCTTTTTTTTTTTTCTTCGGTTCTTTCACACCCTGAGAATTGCTGGGCATGTTCTTCCCTGCTGGTGCTCTAACTCCAGGTCTTTGCACATTTCATTATAATTCACTCTTTGAAATCTTGTGTTCAGCTCCTTTTCATTATTTCTTCCTTTCGCTTTAAAGATTCTATGTTCTAGAACGAGTCGTAGAGTCTCTTCCAGCATCCGCTTTGGTCTTTTCTTTCTTTCTGATCTTCCTAATAGCAGCATTACTTAGCAGTGAACTGGAGAATGTTTCTTAGTGTTGTCCTCCTTCCACCCCGTCTGTGTCTTTGCACTCATGACTGTCAGTACTGTCTCAGGTGCACAGTTAGACTGCAGTGATTCTCAAAGACATGGGAGGGGCGTGGTTATGGGAAGTTGGCTCCTCCTCCCTCCTCCAGTGGCAATCCCTAACTTGGATAAACTGGTGAGCTGTGTTAGTTTAGGTTTTCATTTCGTTGTCTGACTTACCAAGATCATGTAGATATAACCTTCATACTTAACCTGGTGTGGATAGTTCACTATGAAACTGACAATGTAAAGGTTTGTGTCTTGTTTTTAGCTGTTGTCTTAACATCTTTTAAGCAGTTAAATATAGTTACATTAATTTAAATCATTATAAAATTTAATAATTCTGCACCTTATTTATGTTGTTTTTAAGTGCCATCGAGTTAATTCCGACTCACAGTGACCCTGTATAGAGAGGGTATCCCAGGTTTTAAGTCTTCACAGGAGCAGAAAGCCTCATCTTACTCTTGTGGAACAGCTTGGTGGGCTCAAACCACAGACCTTGTGGTTCCCGTCCATTTCTTATCGTATGGCGCCACTATGCTCCCATACATTATGTATAACATTTTATAATTAATGCGCTTAATTTGACAACGATACAAGTTGGCAGTTTGTTTTAAAGATGTTAGGTCGTCTCAGACAATTATACTTAATTTCTGTGATTCAATTCTTTTCTTAGGTTGCTTTGGTTGCAATAAATATCATTGGAGATCCGGCAGATTTCAGTGATGAAAGCAATAGTGTAAGTGTAATTCCTAAAGAAGAAATTCTATCTAATAGGAGATGGTATCTTATTGTCCCAAAATGTGTTATCTTAAAACTCTTTATAAAGGAATAACTATCCAATAGCAGCCATAGTGCCCTAAGTTTCCTCATACTCAGGAGCTCCGGCTCTTTCCCGAAGAAACTAGTCACTGACACTTGCTAACACCTTTCTGTCACGTAACCTCTAGAGTAAGGATTTTGTGGCCTTTCATTTTTTTCCTGAGATGCTAAGAAGAATTCTTTTCCTCCCAAAGACTTCTAGAGAGAAGCTTATTGACCACTATCTGGGGCACAGTGCTGAAGATCCGGCTCTGGATGGCACCTATACTGGGTAAGGACGTGGCTCTCTCCAAAAGTGAGGTCATTTCTAAAGGACCCGAGACTTGAAGTCCTCTACATCTAGTTCAGAGCTTGCTAAGCCACTGATTGGATTGTCTTAGATGTATCTGGAGATTAAAGGCAAGGAGGCTCTGTGTCCACCTTCCTGTATTGTGCTCAGAGACTTTTCGCTTATGTCATTCAGCTATTCCTCTTGTTTGCCATCCGACTCTTAGTGATTCTGTATAGGGTTTCCAAGAGTGATTGGTGGGTTTGAATTGCCGACCTGGTGATTAGTAGTCCAGTACTTATCCTACAATGCCACACTAGAAGCTTCTCACAATGCGTTTGGATAAAGATCTATTAGCCATTCATTGGCAAAGGCAAATCCATAGGTAAAAATGAAAGGTATGTAATAGACCTAAATTATCAGGAACTAGAAGCTTCATCTTATATATACTTGAAGAGTTTATTCTTCAGGGTCAGAAATATATATGTGCCTTTAAAAGCACAATTTTGGGTAGTCCCTCTCTACCTACTAAAAGATTCTTTGTATTCCAGACCAGAACCAAACCTACTGCCATGGAGTCGCTTCTAACTTAGCGACCCTGTCAGAGAGTAGACCTGCTCCTAAGGGCTCCAAGACTCGAGATCCTTACGGGAGCAGACGGCCTCCCTTGAAGTAGCTGCTGGGCTTGAACCACCCACCCTGCGGTTAACAGCCCAGCATGTGTAGTCCACTGTGCCACCAGAGCACCTTTGAAATACTTACTTACCACCTGCCCTTGTGTCTTAGCTGTGTACAGACTCCGGGTGGATCAGGACTGGGGACGCCGAGAGCGGCTGCCGTGGCTTTCTGGCCTCCCTGCTCCCTGGGCACCTCCTCAGACAAGTAGCTTCTGCAGCGGGTTCCCTGCATTCTGCTCCCGGTTCAGGCACAGGACCTCATCAGCCCAAAGCTGCTGGACCTAAAGAAAAGAGGACTGCAAAACATCACCGTCCCAGTAAAGAGCAAATCAGACACTTAAATTACCGTAGGCATTCGGAAGGTGTGCCTGGCGTCACTTCTCTCTCCCGGCCTGCAGACTGCTGGTGGGATGAAACGAATACTGGGGCTGGGCTCTGGTTTTCTGCCAAAGTCGAATCTTCATGCAGTTGTTCATGAGACTTTGTCAGAGTTGCTCCCTGGTGGGTGGTGTACCCTTATTTTGCTAACGCCCTCCTCTGTCCTCAGAGCGCTGAGAGGGCTGTGTGGTTGAAGGAGGGGCCAGGGCTGGTCACAGGGCCCGCGTAGGTACTGAGGCTCAAAGGGTGCAGGCTGTTGGTAAGGTAAAGAGCACTGGTGACTCAACAGTGAGGCACTCAGCTGCTAACTGAAAGGTTGGTGGTTCAAAATCACCCAGGAGGTCCACAGGAGACAAGACCTGGCCATCTGCTCCCACAAAGGTTACAGCCTAGGAAACTCTATGGGCCAGTTCTGTTCTGTCCAATAGGGCTTATCAACAGCACCCACAAGAAGAAGAACATTTTTAGGATATTTATAAAGAAGAAAAAGGACTCAGTTATACAACCTTAACAAGTTTCTCAGTCTGTACTCTATCCAATCAAACAACCATATCCTGCTTATCTTTCAGGGTAGTGATTTGGGGGGAAGTGCAGAGAGTCAGTCCATAAATATATCCACCTCTTCTCAGTAGCATCACTGTGACACCTGCCCTCACTGAAGCTTCTTCTTGTTAAGTGTCTTTAAGTCGATTCTGTCTCCTAACAATCCTGTATGGCAAGGGCGGGAAACGTCCAGCCCACAGGCAGTATAAGGCCTGCGAAATCATTCGGTGTGGCCCTGCCAAGGCAACCACAGTTCCAGCCATCACATTAGGGATGTTGTTGTTGTTGTTGTTGTTAAGTGCCGTCGAGTCGGTTCCGACTCAGAGCGACCCTGTACAGGGTTTCCGAGGCTGTAAATCTTTACGGGAGCAGAAAGCCTCATCTTTCTCCCGCGGAACCGCTGGTAGTTAGTTTCGAACTGCTGACCTTGTGGTTCGCAGCCCGATTCATAACCACTATGCTACCAGAGCTCCTTTTAGGGATAAGTTAACTAAATGTTTGACCAAAGATAACTGGTTGATTTTTAAGTTGATAGTTTTGTTTGGTCCATGAATGATGTTTACCTGTGCTTTATTGACTACGCAAAGGCTTTCGATTGTGTAGATCATGACAGACTGTGGACAACATTGTGAAGTATTCGGGAACACTTAATTGTGCTCATGAGGAATCTGTACATGAACCAAGAGGTAGTTGTTTGAACAGAACATGGGAATGGTTTGAAATTAAGAAAAGTATGTGACAGGGATATATTCTTTCACCATACTTATTCAACCTGTATGCTAAGCAAATAATCCAAGAACCTGGGTTATACGAAGAAAAAGGTGGCATCAGGATTGGAGGAAGACTCATTAACAACCTGCGATATGCAGATGATACAACCTTGCTTGCTGAAAGTGAAGAGGACTTGAAGTACTTATGAAGAAGATCAAAGAGCACAGGGTTTGGTATGGATTGCATCTCATTGTAAAGAAAACAAAATCATCACCGCTGGACCAATAAACAACATTCTTATCAATGGAGAAAAGATTGAAGTTGTCAAGGACTTCATTTGTCTTGGATCAACTATCAACACTCACGGAAGCAGCAGTCAAGAAATCAAACTACGTATTGCATTAGGCAAATCTGCTGCACAAAACCTTCTTGAAGTGTTGAAGAGCAAAGATGTCAGCTTGAGGTCTAAGGTGCACCTGACCCAAGGCATGGTATTTTCAATAACCTCATATGCATGTGAAAGCTGGACAGTGAATAAGGAAGACCGTAGAAGAATTGATGCTTTTGAGTTATGGTGTTGGAGGAGAATACTGAAAGTGCCATGGACTGCCAAAAGAACCAACAGATCTGTATTGGAAGAAGTGCAGCCAGAGTGCTCCAGGATGGCCAAACTGTGTCTCTCATACTTAGGACATATTGTCAGGAGGGACCAGTCAGTGGAGAAGGATATCATGTTTGGTGAGGTAGAAGGTCAGAGAAAAAGAGGAAGACCCCCAGCGAGATGAATTGGCAATATGGAAGTATCAATGGGCTCAAGCATGCAACAGTTGTGAGGTTGGCCCAGGACAAGGCAGTGTTTCAGTCTGTTGTGCAAAAGGTGGTTATGAGTCAGTACCAACTTGATGGCCCCTAGTAACAACAACAATGAATGATGTTACAAATTTTGGCTGAAAAAAGGTCCCCCATTCCTGCTGTGTAGGATTTCTGAGGAGTGGCCAGTGGGCTAATAGTCCAGTGCTTATCCTACAGTGTCACACCAGGACCCCAATTGAAGCTTATAAAACAGGAATATTCAAATTGATTTATAATATTTTTAGCTTCTTAATCTCTCCAGTAAAAATTCTTTCTGCTGTTTTGATATATAATTTAAATGAGTATTTTTAATCAAACTAGTCGCATGAAAGAGTAGTCTGTATCTTGCCTACCTGCGTCATCCCCCAGGGTTTTGTGAAGGTGACCTGAAGGGCCAAGCTCTGAATGTACTGGTCATGAAACTCCCATAGTTACCACTAGGGGGCATTCTGAGCGAACGTGGATCACTTTCTTCTCCACCATGCGGAGGCTGCTGCGGGAATTCAGATTAGTATACAGCCCCACTGTTTGTCGTTTGTAGGATTCATACAGTCAGATGAACGTTTTGTTTTCATCTCTGAGACTTCACAGCTAAGAGATTCTGACTTACATACAAGGGGACTTCAAAAGATTCATCTTTCCTTCCGTTTTTCCATGAGCCTTTTGCAGCTCCCTCATATGTTGAGCTAAAATAGAGTGGTCTTGTAGACACATCACAGTGTGTTACCGTCTAGACATTCTCCGAGAGGAGATGATGTTGTTCCTGCTGCTGCTGCTGCAGAACACCCCGAGTCTCAGAAGGGGGAGCTGTGAGGGGTGCTCAGTGATTCTGAAAGACGACTTGCTCCCATGTTGTATCTGGATTGCTTATTACATAATTCTACTGACTATTTATTTATGATAAATAACATTCTGATGATAGTTTCCCTCTATGTAAAGATCATCTAAGCCATGGCTAACAAGTTGCTAATTTTATCGTAAATGAACTGGGATACTTAGAAGTTAGCCTCAGAAAATTAATAACGTTTATGTGGAGGCGTTGGGCTGACCTTCTTGTACATGTTGGACCCAGAAGCAGGCTGATGATTACTCTGCTATAAGATTTGTAAGGAACAGCAGAGGTAATGAGAGCACTCATTTCCTCCTGAGTAGACATCTGGCCTCTGTAGGACTCATTGGTGGGCATGAAAGGTAACTCTCTGAGATGATGGCATAGACATTGCAGTTGTAGCCCGTCACATTCACCAGACTTACGTGGCGCTAGACCCACCAAAGAATGGGACTGGTCACCATTTGCTCTGTTCTGTGAGTTTTTTCCCCTGTTCTACAAATGGTTTACAGTCTTGTCACAACCCTAGTACCAAAGACAGAGCTTGGTGGAATGAGTGAGTACATGAATGAACCCACCTAACCCTAACCTGGAAATGCTCTGATGTGCAATTTGGTTAATGGCTGAGTGACTGGGCTTTGGAATCGGAAGACCTGCTTGTATGTAAGGGCTGTGTGACCTGAGTCACGTGACCCGTATGTGTACTCTTTTCCTATGCAGGAAGTGGCACCCACACACACAACCCACACACACCCACAACTCCTGGGGCTGAGCTCTGAGGTACTGCGCTATCACTGTAGGCTAGAATTAGCTTTAAATGCTTGTTTCTTTCCATCAGGAAACCTGACTACATCTCTCCACTAGATGATCTGGCTTTTGATATGTACCAAGACCCAGAAGTCGCACAGATCATACGCAAGTTAGACGAAAGAAAGCGTGACGCCGTCCAGAAGGAACGTTATGACTATGCCAAGAAACTCAAGCAAGCTATTGCTGATTTGCAAAAGGTACACCTTCTGGAGAAATGGTGCCATTGTATTTATGTCTGATGAACACAGCTACATGGTGAGACAAATGAACTCATGAGGGTCAAAGACGGAAGCAAAGTAAGCACCTGAATACAAATATCATGGAAGCATGTGCTTCACATTCTCACAGACGCCATCCGATAGATACCTCACTGACTTCACCGTTTGCTATGGGAAAATGGTAGGAAAACCCTAGAGCCGCTTTAAATGAGGGTGGACTCCCGGGTGTATGAGTAGCAGGCACTGCTACATGAACGCAGTTAGGGCTTCCCGTTCCCTTCTCGTGGAAGGACATCGATGGGCACTGCCCCTGCTGTGTAAGCAGCACTTTAGCAATGATCTTTGCATGTGGCCCCAGTTGGTCACCTTTGAAAACAAAGAGCAATCACCTTACGCTGCAGGTTGGCGAACGTCTGGGGCGGTACGAGGTGGAGAAGCGCTGTGCCGTGGAGAAGGAAGACTATGACCTGGCCAAGGAGAAGAAGCAGCAGATGGAGCAGTATCGTGCCAAGGTCTACCAGCAGCTGGAGCTGCACAACCTGCTGGACGTGGAGCTGGTGGGTGCGGTGAGAGCCTGGGATTCCCGTCCAGAGCCGGGGGACTCAGCAGTGTAGTCACAAGGCGGGCCACTGGGAGGGTGTGTGCGTGTGAGTGCCATGGCGGTCTGCCAGCACTGGGCCTCCGTCAGGTAGACGTGGCCTAGATGAGTTCTCTTCGGAGGGCTCTCGGAAGAAGAGTCAGAATGAGCCCAAGACACCCTGACTCACGACACTGCTGGCGAGTCCCTGCCCTTCTCTGCTCTCGGTAGCCCTGGTCCTTTGCCCTCAGAGTGCCAAGAGGGTGAAGTAAGACTGAGAGGGTGGGAAAGTGCCTGCCCAGAAACCACGCGTGTTAGGAGGAGTTCTACCTCTCATCTTTGGAACCCGCCCTCCAGGCACATGTCTGTCTGTCTCTCTCTCTCTCTCTGTCACACACACACACACACACACCCCAGTTTTTGACAAGGAAGCAAAGGTTGGGAGAGATGTAGAATGGCAGTTAAGTAATGAGAGGGCAGACCCAGGCTGCATTGCCGGGGCGCACATCCTGGTGCCTCCGCACTAGCTGCTAATCTGAACAGACAGAGCCTCGCCATGCGTCCATCTCCTGTCCTGTCTAAAGTGAGGGTGAAAATGGTGAACTTTGAGTTGAGAAAATCTGTCTGAAGTATGTAACTCCAAAGTGCAGAATTTGACTTGGTCCAGTTACACTAACTTAGGAGGGGCTTCACAAAGTCCGTGGGAAACTTCCATTATCTTCCACTTACAGTTTCCACGTGCTCTTTGAAGCCCCTTTGTATTTGTGGAGTCTGCCCAGATTGGTCCTGCTGAGTGTCCTTACTGCCTCAGCTACTCTACACACAGGGTCAGACTGTCCACTGACAGTTCTGGTTGTGTGCCCCCTTTATAGTCTGGAGTCACCACAGAGCAACAACACCAGGGATTGAGATGTGACTGTCTAGGGCACCCTTAACATGGGTTACAACTCTCTCCCGAGATCTTCTATTTCGAAACCTCTAATTGTGCGCAACAGTGTCTCCCAGCACACCCTGACTGAACTCTTGTCCATATGGGGGATCAGCTGATCTGGATGCCGTTGGAATGAAGTGTCCCTTTTTCCTCTAGATGCGAAGACCGTTTGATTTGCCCCTGCAGCCCCTTGTCCATCCTGGCAGTCCTCGCCACCAGAGCACTAAGCCTTCATTGCCACAGCAGGAGGAGATGCTGGCAGAAAAGCAGGTCACTGAGCCGCCCCTGCCGGAACAGCCTTCCTCCCAGCCTCGTGGCGCCCCTCCTTCACACGTCACTGTGAACCCGGAGCCTCAGCCAAAGATTAGCGTGGGTCCCTCAGCTTCGCATCTGTGTTTGGCTTGCGTGTTAAGGACTTGTGTTGTGTGTGGGAGCCATCCATGTACAAAACAGCCCAAACCCTTTCCTCATAGAAATTGCCTGGCTCGAATTCGATGCTCCGTAGATACTTGTTGAAATGCTATGTGAGTGAACTAATAAACAGGTGTTTATCTAGGGTTCTGGTGGGCCCTCCCCAGAGCGTGTACATAGAGTGTGTACCTTTGGCTCCTAGGGTGAAGCAGAAGGCCCCAACATGTTTCAAGTCAAGCCTGATGCTTGTTTCTAGGCAGTAAACAGAAAATATCAGAGAACTTGTTTAGAAAACAGCATAATCACTTTTGCTCCACATTCCAATTGAACTGAAATTGCCGGTGGTAAATTGTAACTGCAGCTTCTTGATGAGGTGTAGAGTGAGTTTAGGAAGGAATCAAGACACAGGGCTCATTTTGTACACTGCATCCTAGTGTATAGCTCATTGTGCTCTGTGAGTGCTGAAATCTCTTACCGGCTAAGGAGAGAGCAGTGAGCCTGCGTGTGACATCCGGGAGCGGGAGTGGGAGCGGGAGCGGCAGGGCTCTCCATGCTGGGTGGTGGTCTCCAGACCTTGCCTGGGCTCCCTTTCAGGTGGAGACGTTGCCCTATGATGAGCGACCCCTCCCAGCTATTCACAAGCAGCAGGGCGAAGCACTCACGGAGTATGAAATGAGCAACACAGACATCCGCGAGGCGCAAAGAGGTGGCATTACTTGGGAACCAGAGCCCTTAACAGAGAAAGTCCTGAGAGAAGCCAGCTCCGCCATCGACGTGTTCGGGGAAACTTTGGTAAAAGGAAAAAAAGACACACATGCACTCATATATAGATGTGTGCACACATATACATGCAGTCTTACATATGCAGTCACATGTATATGTGAGCGTGAACATATACATGCATAGACCATATGTGCATGGAGTCCTGATATAGCGCCACAAGATAAGCACTCCACTTCAAGGTCGGTTTGACCTTCAGGGTCGGCAGTTCAGATTCACCCAGCTGCTCCTCAGAAACCCTATACAGGGTTGCTGTGAATTGGAACCGACTCAACAGCACTCAACAACAACAATCAACAATCACATATGTACATACATAACATGGTATGTGTGAGAGAGAGCGAGAAAAGGAAGAAAAAGTGCCCCGAGACTTGGTGTTTATAATACGGATATTGGTTTCATTTTGTCCTTATTGAGTTGAAAAGTCTTCCATTCATTCTCTCATATAGCAAAAACGTTATCTAAATGGTAAGGCTTTTGTGAATTCATGTTCATATATGGCTGGATAGCTCTAGCCCGCACCCATGGAGCCTCTATTGAAAATTGCCCCCTTCCAGTTAATTTCAGGGGGAATGGCACCAACATACAACAAAGCACAAAAGTCATCTGCTTACAGGAGTGAACCCAATGGATTTCTCCCTCATCCCCAGCATAGCAGTATTTCTCTTGTTGGGACTTTTAATGCTATCATTCCATACTTCAGCACAGTCTTAAATTCTCCTTAATATAAAAGTGAATTGCCTAAACACGTGTATTTATTCGGCAGAGGTCCTGTTACAAGAAAAGATTCTCCTGAATTTGAAGAGAGTGTGAGAGTCTTCCCATGTGTGGGGTACTGAAGAATGGCTTTGGACGTAATGGAATGCTGACTCTTGACTGAATCAAGACCCCTTTTTTGTGTTAGGTTGCAGGGGCCTATTCCAAGACCTGGTCATACCGGGAAGATGCATTACTTGCTCTGTATAAACAACTGATGGAAATGCCCATTGGAACGCCAAAGGAAGATTTAAAGAACATGCTGAGAGCATCTGTCTTTCTCATTCGAAGAGCTGTGAAAGACATTGTGACCTCAGTGAGTTCCCTCAGAGCAGTGGCTCCCGTGCCTGTGAGCCAGGCCATGTGGCACACCAGCCACGAGAGCCTGCTCACTCAGTCGGCTGCCACCCTCGCTCGGTCAGTGTGGAGGAGGCAATGGTAAACTGACGTAAGAGAGCATGTCTCTCAGCCCAGGGCATGGTGCTCAGAAGGCAACTTTAACTTGGCATTTTCAGTCCTTCAGACAACTTAGAACATTCAATATACTACTCCTATTTAATGCCTATTAACCTGTGTAAGTGGAAACCCTACCAAGACAGAAAACTCCAATATTCTCCCTTAATAGAAAGTGATGGAAAGGACTACAGCCTGTCCAAGGCAGTTCTGTCTAGTTCCAGCTTTCTTAAATTTCAGTGTGATCATGAATTGCATGTGTCCTCTCAGTGGAATTTCCGTCTTAGTCAGTTATCTGTTGTTCTCACCCTACCCCCTAGGTCTTCCAGGCCTCTTTGAAGCTGTTGAAGATGATCATCACGCAGTATATTCCTAAGCATAAACTGAGTAAACTGGAGACCACCCACTGTGTGGAGAGAACCATCCCCGTCCTGCTGACCAGGACTGGGGACTCCTCCACGCGCCTGCGCATCATAGCCTCCAACTTCATCCAGGTGAGGGCTTCCAGAGACCACACACAGGCAGGTGTCTGTTCGTGCAGCCTCACTATCAGACTGTGCTTATGCTCTGAAAGACAAGTTGAATTGAAGATGTGAGCTTTCATTAAAATGGACAGGTTAGTTTTTCTAGTTTTCCTCTTATTCGCCGTATGCTGACAGTTATTAAATAAATAAAACTCTCTGGAAAATGAAACCTGAGTAGAAAATTTGGAAGGACAGAATTAATGAAAAGATAACTGAATCCAAATGTTTTTACCCACTCAATAGATACATTTCCTCTAGGTTCGGCATTGTGTGTGATGCTGAGGTAGAAAGGGATGTATAAGATTTTTTAGCACACAGGTACCAAGTGGTATGAAAATAAATTTTTCTGTCTTTAAATTAACTGATAAATTAACTTATTTCAGGAGTTCTTAAGGGTCCATCTTTGGGCTTCAAAAAGCCTATTAATTTCATGGAACTGTATATAAAATTTTGTATGAGAGCATCCAGTTTCTCAAAGAAAGAAGAGCAAGTGTTAAGAACCCCCAAATATTAAGAACCACTGATGTCGTTTCACTTAATAAACTTAAAATACGTCTTCAGGGAAAATAGGTGATGCTACAGTCCTCCGAGGTACTCCTTGTTAATACAGCTTAGGATTATTTTATTAGAGAATTGCAGGCTCTTTTGGAAAAGAAGTCTAGAAAAGGAACATTAATAACTGCCCAAAGGGAGATCACTTGCTCAGGAATTCTTACTTATTTAATGTGACTTAGATAGAGTTTAAGAAAAGGAAATTCATTTTTGGATGAAAAGTTAGCCGTATTGTTACCAGAAAGTAACACTCAGTCATCACATGATATGTTTGAGGTGGGTCGAGACTGCAGTCCGGGGAAGGAGAGGGATACGCTCTGCCCTACTATGGTTAAAAACTCAAGAAAGCTTAGTTTGAGTAATGTTTTCAGAAGCCAGGTTATCATGAATAAGAGATTTTTACGTACAGAGAAATGTCTCCTATCCCTGCCCTTTTGTGGGAGATGTGAGGGATGTCAGCTCTCCAAAGAGATGTTGAAAACATGGACACTGTGATTGCCTCATTGAATTACTTTTAAACCATACTAATTTCTGAGTAGTTTGTTAGTGTTTGGATCTCCTCTTTCTTTGAACAGCTCTCATAGCACTCGATGGCAGGGTTGAAACTATTTCTTTGTACCTAGCATACCAATGAGCTGACTTAGAAATATGCCTGTATTTGCTGCCTCTCTCTGTCATTTAGGAAATTGACTGTTGACACTTATCTGAAAAATGCTGTCATTCATGCTCTTTTATGTTTGAACAGAAGGTCACCCATCATCACAAAAACAAAGTTAATCATGCTGGGCAAACTAAAGGTTATTTTAGGGAATGTGACTGGGAGACTCGTTGAAATGGATTTCTTTTTATTCTGCTGTTCATAGGCTTCAGATGTCCTCATTTCTTTCTTTCTCTGCACCTGACTAATGAAATGACAGCTGTCAAGCATAGGGGGACCTGGACAGTGGTGTGTGCATGTTTGCATGTAGCCATGGGCACTGGGCTGAGCGGACGGCCGCTGCTGTGCCTCAGTCAGCACTTACAGACACTCAGTACTGATGCTGCCAGCAGCACAGCCATGGCCTCAAGGTCTTGAGAAGTTAAAGCAACTTGCTTTTGGGACTGGGAAACAGAACAGAAATGGTCACAGTTCCCTGACACTTTTATGACGCTTTCCTGCCTCCTGATGACCGGGCTTTTTAGGTCTTGTGCTGCAGGTTTCCATCTGTGACTAGTTCTTGTGTTCTAAATCCATATGTGAGCTGAGAGTACCTCCCCGCCATTTCCTCATTTTTCCTTCAGTGTTGACTTGGAGGGTCAGACAAAATTGTATGAAGTTGCCTCCAGCATCTTCCAGTAAAAATTAACACATTGCGTTGGCTTTTGTAGGAAATGGCCTTATTTAAGGAAGTTAAGTCTCTCCAAATTATCCCAACTTACTTGGTCCAGCCACTAAAAGCAAACTCCTCAACTCACCTGGCAATGAGCCAGATGGACCTCCTGGCACGGCTGCTGAAAGACCTAGGCACCGAGGGCTCAGGTTTCACCACCGACAGTGTGATGAGGGTAAGCATGGCCACCATGTTCCCACCTCTGAACGTGGGGTCTGGCACCTGGCCCGTGTCTGAGCGGGTGTCATGAATGTGCGAATGATTCCAGGAAGTTCAGCAGTGTTCTAGGTAACCAATGAATGTGCTAAAGTTTTCTGCTGTTTGTAATGCCCTTAGTGTGACACGCTCTGTACAGATCCTCCTAACTGTGCTGGCAAAAAAGTTCTAAAAAGCAGTTCTTTGTCCATAAGAGATACCTTTAGTACAGTAGAGAATTCGAGTCCATGTAAGCCTCTGTATTTTTTGTATTTGTGGACCACTTGATGAAACCATACAAGTCATAGGCAAGAAATGTTCTGCCAGCCAGAAATCTCCTTCCTGATTTCAGACATGTGGAAAGAACCATTCTGAATGTTTAAGCAGCAGCTTGGTCCACCCCACAGATGAAGGCTCTCAAGATGCTGTGTTTCCAGTCTCTGGTTTATTTCCATCTCACGGAGCTTTCTTTCACAGGGAAGTAGGGGTGTAGGGTTCAAATGACACCTCTGGCCTCTGTCGATTCCACATGTCCATTGCCTCCCAGGGACCTGGATTTGGACCTAACTAATGAAACTTGTCAGGAGGGATCAGTCACTGGAGAAAAATATCATGTTTGGTAGGGTGGAGGGTCAGAGAAAAAGAGGAAGAGCCTCAACGAGATGGATTGGCCAAGTGGCAGCATCGATGGGCTCAAGCGTGGCAACAAGAGTGTGGTTGGCCCAGAATCGGGCAGTGTTTTGTTCTGCTGTGCATAAGGTCGCTATGTATCGGTACCGACTCAGTGGTACCTAACAACAACAACAACAACAATGAAACTTACAGTCAGAAAAGGCAGGATCATATAAGGTACATTTTTATGCATCCATTTTTTTAGTAGAAGTGTGATTTAGACCTGTTTCATAAGCAGGAAACCTTGGCATCATGAAGCCTTTCTGAAATGCTCTCACCACCCAGTGTGCAGAACTCCCCAGGATCCTGGTGGTCTTAGCACTGGGCCTCGTGTCTCAGCCTCCTTTTCTGATTCTTCTTCATCTTCCTGACTTAATACTCTTCTGAGTAAAAGTATCCCCTCGCTCATCTCACCCAGGTGCATGCCACCTGTTGACTCAAGACTCTCCGATGTGTGTCTCCAGTCTGGACCACTCCTCTGTACTTCTGAGTCACCCATCCAGTGAGTGGCCTATTCAACATCTCCATGTGGATGTCAGGAAACCTCAAACTTAGCATGTCCAAATCTACCCCTGACCATTCCTTCTAACCTGCCAACCTTCAGTTCATGGCCGCTGCTTTCTTTCATTTGTTCAGGCCACAACCTTGGAATCCTTTGGTTCCTCTCTGTGTCTCAAACCTCTGTCAGCAAGTTTATGGGCTGTCCCTTCAAATACAATCAAAGTCTGACCACTCTTGCCCGTCCTCTGCTCCCACCCAGGATTTCCCATCTCTCCTCCTGCTAAGAGTCCTCAGCACAACAAAAGACTCCAGTAAATGCACATTAGATGGTGTTACCTATTCCTTTGCTCAGCTCTGGGTCAGTACTTCCCATCTCACTCAGTCTTCTAATTGCAAACTGCCAAGTCCTCTTGGAGCTCGTCTCTTTCTTTTGAAAAACTTTCTCAAGTCAGCCAAATGTTGCCAAAACACATGGATACCTGTTTCTTTTCATGCATTTCTTCTTGTGTCAGTCAGCCCAGGGATGCTATGTTATAGCCCTCCAAGTTACAGTAGCAGCCTAGCCCAGGTCACCATCTTTGTTTTTGAGTTCACGTGACCACTAAGCCTCCAACATACATAAATTTTTCGTATGGTCCCACTCCTTCAAGACTCCAGTCTGTGATTGTGAGGGTTGGAAATCTAAAGGTAGACATTTTGTAGCAAGGAGGAGAGTGATTAACTTTTCAGTCTAGGAGCGGAGGTCCCTGGAACCATCAAGGGAGAAGAGCAGAGAGCAGGACCCTACCCAGAGAAACAGTGATACCTGAGATGGAGGCAGAGATGATGGTGTGGAGAGATGGAGCAGCTAGGGACTTTAGACACAGAGAGGGAGAGGGGCTGTGTGCTGATGACCAGGGGGTGCAGGTTTAAGGTGTATACCCGTTGGTTGATGATGCATGGAGGGGATTGTAACCATGGCAATGAAACGATACACGATAGAATGAATATAAAACTGATATTTTCCCATGTAAACTATCACATAATTCACAATAAAACATTAAGGAAAAAAAAAGACTCCAGTCTAAGCTTCGTAGGATCGTGGGCTAGACTGTGCCTCACTAACAAATCCTGAAGCTCCTAGGGCTTAACACAGAGAGGAGGTTGGGTTCTCTCTTGTGCGTGCTTCAGTCCAGCTTGCAAAGATACAGGTTTTGTGCCCCATGAAATCATGCAGGGACTCAGTGCCCCTCCTGTTGATGTTCCCCGGCTTTCCCCCGTGACCATCAAGGTCATGACTAAAGGACAGTGACTAGAGGATTGTGCTTGGGAATGAGCAAGCCCCTTCTACCGCATTTCCATTGTCCATGGTGGTCCCGAACTACCTCTGGGGGCCTGGGAAGCACATGTAAGCTGTGCGCCAAGGAAAGAAGGAAACGGGTTTGCTGAGTTTCCTTGTTTGGGTCAGTCTCTATGCTGGTGGGAATTATCCAGAAGCAGGAAAAGGAGGGAGAGAAGTTGATAGAAGCAGGAAAGAGGTGGGTAGCTGCAGCCGTAGGAGCAAAGTCCCGAGCTGGCTGCAGGGAGTCAGCCCAGCAGATGAACAGAAGGGTTGGCCTCAGTTTGGAGTGGAGACACTCATCCTGTAAATGGGAGGAAGTCAGCTTGAAGCCAAGAAGGCATAGTGCACATTTGAGAGGAGAGAAGAAAGCATGCAGTGGCCACCAGAAGACTGGAGCAGTGGACTGCCCAGGGTCAGGTAGCAGGTCAGTTTGCTGTGTAGTGCTGAGTCTAAAGTGAAATCAACCATGTGACTATTGCATCTCCAGTCATGCAGCTTTGCCTGGAGATGCCGAGGAAGGAGAAGGGTTTGGGATTCTGAGGGGGTACCTGTATACCTGGCCCACACTGTCCACATGGGAAACAGTCTAGGGGGGATGATAGGTGGGTAGTGGGGATGGATGGTGGCCCATGGGTGGGTGGCAGGACCCTATGGATTGAAGAATTATGGGGAAGTCTACACAGAAAGTGAGCTGGACAGATGGTAGTGGTAATGTGTAAGGGCCTTATAGCTGGATCTTGTAGAGTGGGCATCGGTTGGAAATGACAAGATCAGGGTAAAAACTTGAGTGTGGAGCCAAGGCAGGATGAGGTCGCTGGACCAGAAGGATGGTCAAGACTTGAGGCCAAATGCCCATGCACCATCATGGAGTTGTCAGATTCACCCAGCACGTTCACCTCAGCATGGACCTGGGATGTGGGATGTGTTTGTATGCTGTGTTTGTAGGCTGGAATACCACAAAGCCGTTAAAGTGGATGAAATGGACCAACATGGATGACAGTTCATAGATCTTGACTACATTATGTTGTGTAGAAAACGAGGAAGGCTCAAAATGACAAGCATAGCATACTATTTGCAATTTTAGTACCAAAAACTCTGTGCATCTACACACATGTGTGTGTATACTTGTGGAGAGGTGTGTCTTTGTAGTCCATGAGAAAATATGAGTGGGAAGCATGTTCCCGGCCTCAAAAGAGAAGAGGGCAACAGATTGGGGAGACACCCAGGAGCTTGCCCTATAATTATATGTTCCATATCTTAGAAATAAAAAGACCACGATGTTTGATTTCTATGAAATAAAAATACCTGCGACAAAATGATTGTTGTTGTTGAGTGCCGTCAAGTCAGTTCTGACTCATAATTACCCTGTATAGGGTTTCCAAGGAGTGCCTGGTGAGCTTGAACCACTGACCTTGCGGTCAAAGCCGACCTTGCAGTACAGCACGTTAACCTGCAGGGCCACAATGGTAACATTGGCTAAACCTAACTATTGGGCACATGGAGTTTATTATTTCCACTTCTGAATGTTAGAAATATTTCCTGATGTTTTACATAAAGTTCATAGAAAGGCATAACCTGTAAAAACATGTAGAAAAAAAGGAAAGCAAAATTTGCAGAGACTCATGATTTAAACTATGGATGTAAGATAAACTCGGGGAAAGTGGACAGAAATCTATGTAGCTCTGTGTGTCTTTCTTTTTTTTTTTTCAAATTGTCATAATGTTCATATATTCCTTTGATGCTGGAAAGCATATGGTGCTTGGTTTCAAGAATCAATATCAACAGGAAGCCCTCCTGGCTTTTTGCTTAGTTTTCAGTGAGTGCCCTGGAGCACAGAGTGTACGAGGTGCGAGAGACGGCCGTCAGGATTATTTTGGACCTGTATAGGCGGTACCGGACACTAATTCTCGAGTATCTGCCTCCAGATGATAGCAACACACGCAAGAACGTCCTCTATAAGACGATCTTTGAGGGGTTTGCTAAAATAGACGGCAAGCCTTCAGAAGCTGAGATTAGGGTGAGTTCACCTCCATGAAATTGTGAACTAGTTAGAGATTTTTTCAGTGTTTTGTATGTGAATGTTTCAAGGACCTGTAACCTGGCTCCATCCCTTTTTGCTTGTGAGACCCTCCGTCTCCCCATCTCTAAATAGGAGCCTTAATAACCTTGAGGATGTTGCCACTTTCGCTATCAAGGAGTGGCTTGGTAGGATAAGCACTGGACTGTGAGCCATAAGGTCAGCGGTTCGAGCCCACCAGCCACTCTGTGGAATAAAGATGAGGCTTTCTGCTCCTGCCAAGATTTACAGCCTCAGAAACCCTACACAGGGCCACTATGAGTTGGAACCAATTCAATGACACTTAACAGCTACCTTCATTGTTTGAATGGATCTGTAGACTATACTTGAGCCCTAGTCATCCCATTCACCTTAAGGAGTAGTGTGAAGCATTGGTGTTAGGTGCCGTCATGTTAGTTCTCACTCATAGCAACCCGTAAAGGGTTTCTGAGGAATGGCTGGTGGGTTTGAACCACCAACCTTCTGGTTAGCTCTCCAGCGTTTACCCTACAGAGACACACCAGAACTCCAATATAAAGTACTGTTAAGTGCTGTCGAGTCGGTGCCCACTCATAGCAACTCGATATAGGGTTTCCAAGGAGCAGCTGGTGAATTTGAACCACCTTGTGGTTCACCAGACTTTTCAGTTCAGTGCTTATCCTACAGCGCCACACCAGGACGCTTTATAAAATATAAGAAACATAATTTGTATGTTATCATTCAAAAGATCCACTCTTAACAGAAAGATAATTTTCCTACCAGGCACAAAAAAAGGCAGCCACAGAAGCAGAAAAACAAAAGAAAGAAGAAATTAAAGTTTTACAAGGACAGTTGGCAGCACTCCGAGAAATCCAGGCTGAAGTCCAGGTGGGAGAGGTAACATGTCCGCTGTTCGCTGTCCGCCGTCCGCGTGCCTTAGGTTGAGATGCCACGATCGGGTGTCTCGTTTTGTAGACGCACAGTGTACCTGATTAGACACATTGATGTCTTTGCTTTTTTATTGTTTTTTAAATTGGATTTGGGGTGCCTTTTTGTAAATGCTCCATCAGATGGTCCTCGGTAGGGACTGCAGCGAGCCGCCTGCCGCATGTGTTTAGAGACCAGTGTGGCTTAGATGTGGGGGGAAGAAAGGAAAGGAAGAGGAATGCTGCTGAGCCCCGCCTGCACTCCACAGCCTCCTACCTGGGCAAAGGAGAAAACAAATAGAATACACAGTTCTGGGGTTAGTGCGCTCAGAAGAGGGAGACTTCAGCTGTCAAATAGGAATGCTGCCACTTGGGTAGACCCTCACTCCTAACCCTGCAGTGTGAGTGGAGTTCGGTTAAATATAATAAACACGTTGCTTCTAAACTGGCCAGCTTTTACAATTTCAGTTTATAACACTAATTTTGTGATTAAGGTCCTTAAATTGAAAAATGGTTCCTCTAGGAAAATAAAAAAAATTCTATTGACAATACAGTTGGCCCTTGAACAACCTGGAGGTTAGGGGCTCTAACCCTAATGCAATAGCAAATCCATGTATAACTTGGGACTCCCCAAAAACTTTGCTAATAACCTATTGACTGGAAGCTTTCCTGAGAACAGAAACAGTTGGCTAATCCATATTTTCTGTATTTTGTGAGCCCTCAGCGGTGCCTGGTCTTAGACACTTGAGGTCACTGTGGCGAATTACATCCCTGCACCGGCTCCCAGCCGTGCCCTGAGTGTTCACTGAGGGCCTGCTGCACGCCAGCCGGTGTCTGGGCTGTGGCAGCACAGAGGGGACAGGACACCCCTGCCCTCATGGGGCTGGTGCTCCAGGAAAGAGGCAGACAGTGACATGTGGCACACAGGGTGCTGAGCACAGTGAAGGGGCTGTAGGTACCCTCAGCGAGGGGCTGGGGAGGAACACTCACCTGAGCACAGTGAAGGGGCTGTAGGGACCCTCAGCGAGAGGTTGGTGACCACTCACCTCAGAATTGCACAATGCTTTCAAGTTTTGCCCGTTTGCCCTGAGTTTCAGAGGAAAAAAAAATAGGTTTTAAAATGTAAGTTTAAAATGTCAGTTCCATGGAGACCTTGTTTAGGGTTTCCAAGGGTATAAATCTTTACGGGAGCAGAAAGCCTCATCTTTTCTCCCGCGGAGTGGCTAGTAGATTTGAACTACTGACCTTGTGTTTAGCAGCCCAACATGTCACCCACTACACTACCAGAGCTCCAAATATCTAAGTGTAGATAAGGTAAAATTTAGCTTTTTTCGATCTGTGTATCTTGTCTCCCTGCAAAATACAACACAAGCCCATCTATCATCATGAAGGGCTGTTTGGATCCCTAGAGTCCTGTCATGTTAGATTAGCTTGCTTGTTAAGTATATAAATCATGGGATTCTAAAACTTTGTTCTCGTGTGCGTGGTTCATATTCAGTGACTGCAATAGTTAACTTATTATCATGTAAAATGCACTTCTCTATAAAGGCACAGAATTTCTGTTTGTAATCCATCATTGAAATGCTGTCTAACAGAACCAACTGGTCCCTAGTTCCTCCTTTAAAACCACAAGTCCCAGAACCCCCTAAGTCTTGGACCAACAGAAATGAGTGGTCAGCCTAGCAGTATAACATTATTCAATTCACTGCTAGTATAGAGACATTACTGTAGTAACGTTTGGAAGGCTGAGTGGCAGGGAGAAAAACTGATAAAGGTTTTCTTGAGGCCATAGGGCAGTGAGCTAGGGAACAGCCCAGGGGCTGGAGCAGAGGGCATTCCCAGGACCACTGGGCTCCACGTGCCCCCATCCACAGCAGAGCAGCTTCACCACCCCTGAACCAACCACCGCTAATGAGCCTCTGCTGTCACAATCACTGTTTAGTCCTCAGGTCATCCCTAGGTCATACAAATAGGAGCCCACCCAGCAGTGCCTCGGGAGAAAGTCCTGGCAGTCTGCTTCCATTTAGATTACAACCAAGAAGACCCCGGGGTACACACGCACATTTTCATTCCATGACGTGGGGTGTCACAGGTCCAGCAGCTGATGGTTTTCCAGCAGTTACCATCAGAAGGCGAAGGAAATTGAGACCGGCAGAGCGGAGGATAGCAGAAGGCCCACTGGCCAGCTCCCCTTTGGCATGAAAACCATTTTAGCTCCTAGATTACCCAGTCGGCATGTCTTATCAAACACTTGCTGCATGCCGCTAACCTGCCTGTTTTGTGTCTTAGGAAAAAGAAAGTGACTCCACAAAGCCCAAGAATCTAGGTACGTACATTGCGCATCAGGTAAGCCCAGGAAGAAACGGCTTGTATTCACTCAGCAGATATTTACTGAGCACCTACTGTGTGTCAGACATTTTAGAACTGAGTATAAAATACTACCCTTATGAACTTGTAGAATATTTCTACAGTATATTTCACACCAAATGTTACTGAAAAAATTTAAATTAATTTTACCCAAAAAATGAATATATATTTAAATTGCTTTTTTAATTTTGTTAAGCAGATGCTCAAGGAAGGAAGGCCTGCCTACCTAGCGCTCCCGCAGTCCCAGAGACTCACTATTTGGATAAGTGAGTAGGGGTGTCTTCCACATGTATGTAGCTAGCAGAGGCCCGGACCCCTAAACACTGCAAGCATTCTTTCCCATTCTTCCAGGGGACTAGGTCAGTTCATTGACCCTGTCCAGTGATTTTCAAGCTAGGAAGATTGTCTTCTGACCCCATCAGTATTAGGCCTGAGTCCATGGCAGATGGCCTTCTCCTTAACTCAGGAGTTAGTACTAAGCCTCTCTGTCAAAAGTGCTACAATGGGCCCAAAGTACGTAGCAGAAGCCCTCTCTAGTATCCAGTGCCAGAACACACCAATTCGGACCCTCTGACAAACGTCCCATCTTTTCTTATGACCGATCCTGATGGCAAAAGCGGTGTGTGAAGGGACCACATGGGAATCCCTTTTAGCACCCACTTGGTGAGGCCCGCCCGGTAGCCTCTCGGTAAGGCTACGAGCTGGTGAGCAACACCACATATCCATCATACACAGACACCCAAGAGCTTGGGAACAGCACAGATATGACTGAATTCGGGATTGGCTTTCATTGTGCCCTTTTCTGGTCTGTTTCAGTTTATGTATTTTTTGTGGGGAAAGGAGTGAATCCTTCACGGAGGAAGGCCTGGACCTGCATTATTGGAAGCACTGCCTCATGCTGACGAGATGCGAATACTGCAAGCAGGTCAGGCACTGGGCACGGGCGGACCACACCCAGACTTGAGCTAGCAACTCTGAAGGGGCAAAAGTCTCAAACTACAGGCTTTTTTTTTAGTATTGTTCAAGGGAAAGTACTGGGGAAAGGAACTGAGTGCACATGACCTCATTTGTTTTGAGTTATTTTTCACCTGTTTGTTGAAGTGTGTTTGTTCTTAGTTCCAACTAATAGTGACCCTGTGTGTACAACAGAACAAAACACAGTCGTCATTAAGTTTGAGCTCATTGTTGCAGCCACTACGCCAATCCATCTTGCTGAGGGTCTTCCTTTTTCACGGACCCTCTATTTTACCAAGCATGATGCCCTTCTCCAGGGACTGGTTCCCTCTGACAATGCATCAAAAATACGAGAGTTCATCTCACCATCCTCTCTTCTAAGGAGCATTGTGGCTGCCCTTCTTCCAAAACAGATTTGTTATTCTTGTTGCAATCCGTGGTCCTTGCAATATTCTTTGCAATACCGTATCTCTAACGCATGACTCTTCTCTGGTCTTCCTTATTCATTATCCAGCTTTCATATGCACTTGAGGCAATTGAAAATACCATGGATTGGGTCAGGTGAACCTTAGACCTCAAGGCGACATCTTTGCTTTTTACCATTATACTTGGTGAAGTCTAAATGTATACAAATCCTAAGTGTTACAGCTCAAGGAACTGTCACACAACATACACAGTTGTGTAACCACCACCCAGGTCAAGAAACAGTGTCATCACCCCCACCCCCACCTAGAAACCTAGTCAGTGACCAGTGAGTCCACTCAGACTCATGGCAGTGTGGCCGAGTAGAGCCGTGCTCACAGGGTTTTCAATGGCTGAGACCTTTCCAAAATAGATCCTGAGACCTTTCTCCTGAAATGCCTCTGGGTGGATTTGAATTTCAACCTTGCATTTTCCAGCTGAGCGCTTAAACATTTGCACCAGCCAGGAACTCCTCCACCACACCTCAGTCCTATTCCCCAGATTTGTCACTGACCCAGTTCCTCATATTTTGTGTGTCTGCTTTTCAAGCTCATGGAAAGGGAGGAAAGGCCACACTGTGTCGTGCCCAGGCGATCGTCGTTGGACTATTGCCAACCGGGTTGTTTCCAGTGGGGCAGTGTTGCTCCAAGCACCCCTGCATGTGTCTCCGGAGCACACCTGAATGCACCCTGGGGTGCATACCGGGAGTGGGGCCGCTAGGTGTTCAGGTGCTCAGCTGTCGAGCTAATGCCAGGTTGTGCTCCCGAAAGGGTGACGCAGCTCATAGCCCTATCAGCAGCATGCGAGAGCTGCCCCACCTCCTCGCCAGCACTCAGCCCTGCTGGTCATCTTCTCTCATTTGCTTCCAGTTTGCATTTCCCTGATGACTAGCGAGGTCAAGCACCGGCCTGTCCATTTGCTGGCCATTGGGCTAGACTTTTGTGAAGTGTCTGTCCTCAACTGTGTGTGTGTGTGTGTGTGTGTGTGTGTGTGTATTTAAATTGCACCAGCAGCCGCTGGTTTGCAGTGATTCTGTGCATACCTGGTTAAGGAGTCCTTTGTAAGTGATGTGAATCCCTGGGTAGTGTAAACAGATAACACGCTGCTGGGCTGCTGACCAAGAGACTGGCAGCTTGAGTTCCCCAGAGGCACCTTGGAGGGAGGTCAGGTAATCAGCTTCTGAAAATCAGCCCTTGGCTACCGTGTGGAGCACAACTCTCCTCTGACCCACAGGGGCTGTGCTGTGTGCCTGAGCCTGACTTCACTGATCAGCCGCATGTGTTTAGCCCTTTTCTCCTTCTCTTGCCTTTTCATTGCCTTCATGTGGCTTTTGATTCATAGAAGTTGTTGATGTTAATGTTGTCCTTCTTCTCCATTGTTTTCCTGGTGACTACTTTCTTGCCCTGTTTATGTAACCTTTTCCTACCCCAAATTGTGAACCTCTTCTCTGCTTCAATAGGCCTGCCTGCAAGTAACTCCTGCACCGGCAGGGCGACCTTCGGCCTGTCCAGAGTGTTTTAGCAGGGTGCAAAAGTCCCAGGACAGAATTGCTTCAAGTGGGCACGCAGGTCCTTCCAGCCAAACACATCAGCATGCCGAGAGCTCTCTCAGCTCTCTCTTGTGGTTATTTCTGGGCACATTCTTAGAAATAAGAAGAGGGAGCTAGGATTTGAACTCAGGACCACACATCCAACCACAGACTGCCTCCTCATACAAGTACCACATTCCGATGAACCATAGCACCCGGTGCCCCCGCATTCACACCTCCCAGGTGAGGTGAGCAGGCTGCCCCGGGTCCTTGCAGAGGATGGTGGGTGGGTCCAGAGCTCCAAGGTGTGAGCTTAGATGAGTGGCTTCGTTCTTCCCATGGGTGAGTGACAGCAGCCACTCACTTGGCTCTGTGTGCCGTCCCAGGTGGTGGAGATAGCCAGCTTGACAGAGCACCTGCTGACAGAGTGTGACCGGAAGGACGGGTTTGGGAAGTGCTACCGCTGCAGTGAAGCCGTGCTCAAGGAGGAGCTGCCCGGACACATCAAAACCAAAGACTGCAATCGTGAGTGCATGTCAGGGACTGGCGGCTGGTGGCCCCGTCAGGGTCCTCGGATGCCCTCCCTCCCCTCTTGTGTCACAGGACCCACTGACCTGATCTTACTGGAATCTTTTCAGCTGCCAAGTCAGAGAAGCTGGCAAACAGGTGTCCATTGTGCCACGAGAACTTCTCGCCTGGAGAAGAGGTGAGGGGCCTGCGGGGTTTCACTCACTGTGGGATGATGGTGACAGTGACCATGACAGTGTTACTGCTGGAGCCCCAAGTCAACAGCCTGCCTAGAGGACATCTTGAGGAGCCCTGGAGGTATAGTGATGAAGCCCTTGGCTGCTAACCGAAAGGTTAGCAATTCAAACCCACCAGCTCCTCCACAGGAGAACGATGTGGCAGTCTGCTTCTGTAAAGATGTGCAGCCTTGGGAACCCTGTTCTGTTCTGTTCTGTAGGGTCACTAGGGGTCAAAACTGACTCGACAGTGACGGGTTCAGATGACATCATGTCCGTTCATAAACCTTAGGCCCATCCAGTTTAGAAAGGCTCTCCTGCCTTTCCCTGAGCGAGCCACACCGTGACTGGTAAGGAGAGGGCTTGGTCTGCAGTGACCACCCTTCCATCCCACATGGAGAGTCAGAGGCGTCCTGACTGTCAGTCCAGCTCACTGGATGTGCTAGGCCTCGGGCATTGAGCCCCTCACCCCACTTAGCTGCTGCCACCGGCAGTCTGCCCTGGCACGCGGCTCTGCTTGCCCAGGCCTTCCTGGAACCCACAGATCACACAGAGGGAGTACAAACTCTCCCACGAGCTGCTTGTATCACTTGCTAGTTACCTAACTCATAGTCCTTCTCTCAAAGGAGTGAAAGGAACTGCAGCTAACTCTTGTGAGGCAGTCGGCAAGCTCATCCTTCCTCTGCTTCCCTGTGGAATTCACATGTTACTTCCCTCTTCATCAGTGGACCACCTTTCATCTTAGGCCCACGCTGAGATGCAGGTGTTTCCTTAAGACTACAGGCTCAGCATAGCATACTGAGGGGCATCCACACCAGGTACAGAGCCACCTTCTGTGCTGAGGCTGCGGCTCCCCTCACACTCTGCTTTAGCTGTAAGCCGTCCTGGATGTGCTGAGAGCAGCTGAAGCTGCCCTGTGACCTGACCACACACCTCAGGCCTCTCCTGTCATTGCAGGCGTGGAAGGTCCATCTGATGGGTCCCGCTGGCTGCACCATGAACCTGCGCAAGACACACATCCTTCACAAGGCGCAGGTGCCACCACTGGGTAAGGCTGTCCACATGCCACCACCGCCACCCCCCAGGGTCCCTTCCTTCACATCTACGAGGTCTTCATGAGCAGGCCAGCCACATGACCAAAGTTTTCCTGTGGCCAGATGTGACTGCTCTTTCCAGAGACTTGCAGGCGTCCTTCAGTGACCACAGCCACCACGAGTGGGCACTCATCATGGTGCACTCCTCTTCTTGGTGTCTTGTCACATGAAGGACTCTAAAGTATACAGAAACATGAAATTATACGGGAGGAACAGTGAAAGTATACCACAGGTATTTAAAAGTTTGAAGGAGGATGTTTGTACATAAGTTTTTGCCTTTCATACAAACGCAGGTATGAATGTAGTAGAGCATATTGTTGGTAATTGTCATCGAGTGGGTTCTGACTCATAGCGACCCTGTATAAGGTTTCTGAGGAGCAGCTGGTGAGTTTGAACCACCGACCTTGCAGTCCAGTGCATTATCCTGAAGCACCACACCAAGAAGGCAAAATGATGAAAACTTACTAGATATTCTCAGCCATCTTAAGGCAATGAATTGCTGGGCCTGCAGACTCAGGACCATAGTCTCAGGGGACACCATGGTCAGTTGGTATACTTTGGCGAGTGAAGTCTGGGATTAAAAGCTTATGAGAGGCCATCTAAGATGCAGCTATTCTCTCCATGTATGGAAGAAGGAAGAATGATGAGAACTGAAGATGTTTGGACTCAGTTACTCCAACAGATTACTAAGGAGCTTTGGTAGCGTAGTGGTTACTAATCGGGCTGCTGTTAGCAGTTTGAAACCACCAGACGTTCCTCAGGAGAACAATGAGGCTTTCTGCTCCCATTAACATTTACAGCCTGGGAAACCCTATGCAGGGTCACAATGAGCCGGAGCCGACTCCATGGCACAGCACTACCAATGGACTAATGGAACACGTGAACATCAGGCTTTACGACTGAAACCAGAAGAACTAGACGGTGCCTGGGTATCACAACTAACTGCTCTTAACAGGGATCACATTAGAAGGTCCCATACAAACTGGGAGAAAATGCGGAATAAAACTCAATATTATTTTTTAAAAAAGACCAGGCTTACTGGTCAGAAAAAAAGCCTGGAAGAACATAAAACTATAGCCCTCAACTTCCCTTCAAGTCTGGATAGGAACTCGCCCTTGTGACCGAATTTTCAGCCAAGCGGTAGATAGATATGTAGGTATGCTCATCGTGGAATGGTCAATCAGTCAAGGTTAAAAGGGCACCATTTTCCTATGGACAAAGGTGAGAAGGGCTGGGAAGGTGTGTGGAATGGATCTAGGAACCACAGGGAGGAAATGGCATAACTGTTGTTTCATGGAGGGGACTGCAGTCATTCAGATGAAACAAAGTATATGATTTGTTTAATATAAAACAGATGATCATGTCTGTAAACCTTCATTCAACTCACAATAAAAAGTTTTAGGACAAAAACCATAAAATTAGAGTAGACTGTAGACGTGTCGCCGTAGCTAAGCTGACTTAGTAGGCTACAAGAGTAGCTGTTTGATGGCAGGAATGGGATGCCAGAAAAGAAAACCCTATGTGTCCTATGAAGAAAAGTTAGTCCTCACCCGAGGGCCTTGGAAGTCTCCTACTGGTGAGAACATGGATTGAGTGTGTATGTGAGGCCCTTAGCTTAGGGTTGTGACTGCTGAAGCCTCAGAGCAGCCGTGTTTTCCTGTGAGGAGAGAAGGGCACAGAAGGGCAGCCTCTTGTCCAGCCCCTTTCTCCCTCTCTGGAGCTGCAGTTTGGAGGTGACTGTCTAGGTCACCTTGGTAGGTAGGTATCCGCTTGGTAGGTATCACACTGAGCCCTTGGCTCTCTCCACTTGGCTGCCTTCGCCTGTCGTCATCTCCACAGCCTGCGGCCCCTCTCTCTCACACCCCCACTCCGCCTGGCACCGCCCATGTCTTGTCGCCATCGCTTCTGCACCATGAGCCTGGCAGCCTTCCTTCTGACGTGGGGCCTGGGTTTTGTGCTTTCACTGCAGGTAAAGGACCCACCACAACTAGAGCAGGCACCTCTGGATTGAAGGCTGGAAGCAAGATCCCCACCCCAAAGGGGGGCCTGAGTAAAAGCTCCAGCAGGACGTACACAAAGCGATGACACCAGGGCTGACCCCCTTGTGGCCAGACGTGACTGGGCACACGCCCCGATTCTGAACCATAGCTCCTCAAATCAGCGTTTTGGACTGCCACCTGGGTTTCCCTCTGCTGTCACTCTAGGGCTCTCGGCCAACCACGGCCCTGGCTTGTCAGCACCGTCAGCTCCCACCACATGGCGGCCATGGACTGCGGTGCCCGCCAGAGCCCCGGAACTCACTGTATTTGTCCACCTTCAGGTTTCTGACTCCAGACCTTCATGACTGGGTCCATTTGCCTAGGGACTCAACAGGACCACAGGGGCGGAGTGGTAACAGATGCAGGCAGAGGAGAACCAGGGCTTCAGGAGACTCTCACTGTATCTCCCTCCTCCAGGCACCGTCTGCTAGCTCTTCTGCCCAGGGCCCTGAGTGTCTAGAGAAATAAAGGTAAAAGGGAAATTTAAAAAAAACAAGTTTCAGAGGGTCGGTCTCCCCAGGGGACCTCCTTGCTGGCTGAGTTTCAGGTCAGGTGTTGCGGTCGGGTGGTCTTCCCTTCCTGGTGAGTCCTGGCTGCCCCAGCTGAGCACCCCCAGGTGGAAGAAGTCAGTATGAGCGCAGTGTGCATCGTGCAGCCTTCTCAGAGCCGCCTCGCGCTCTCAACATGTGCGAGTTCTCAGGAAGAAAACTCTGAAGTGACTTTCCACCTGATCATCCTTTGCGCACCTGCCCATGTGTGTAAATCAGAAGCAGCCCTGTCCTCAAACCTGGGGGGAGTCTGGGGTTTGCTTTGGATTCTGACACAGGCTAGCAGGAGTGCACTGACTGCTCACAGAGCGCCTGCGTGGGTGGGAGCAGGCCCGGGTGCTTCCTGTTGAGGTGACCCCCATCAGATGCTTGCAAACAAGTGGTCTGATGTTAAAGTACCAAAACAGGGCTGAAATGTGGTGAGACCGAACTTCAGAACAGTCTCCTAACAGCTCTGCAGACCTTCTCATGTGGCCGTAACTTCCCTTCCCAGACTGCCTCTCCAATAGTACGGGAGGACTGTGGGCTCCGACTTGGAGCATCTCCACATCCTCCTGTAAGAGTCTGTGCTAAGTGCCCAGTCTGCGAGGGACACAAAAGTCATTGTCCTTTCTGCACCAAAGTATTTCTCCCCCTCCCCACCCAGCAATACAGATTATGCATTCTTCCTGTTAACGTGGGCAAGGCTTTCCAAATGACACAGATGCTTGGGATTGATGACATTTATATTGTAAATTAGTGTGTGAATATTGTTTAATTCCCAACCATGTGAGACAACAAAGTAGACTCATAGCTGGTTAAGCAGTGTGCTCCCTGGGTATGGGAGTAACAGAGTTTGTATTAACATTAACCTCCATTTGTAACTAAAACATCCTCATATGGTACTCAGAACACCGAGCATGAAGGAGGTCTACTAAAATATTGACTTCATTAAGAAGAAAAAGGAAGGAGAAATTGATTCAAACTGCAAAGCAAAGTGCAAATGCCAAGATACAAAGTGATCTTTGCCGATTTCAAAGTTATTAGCCATTGTCTGCTAACCTGTTTTTAAAGTATACATGAAATACTTCTTTAAGTAGACCAATGTGAGAAAAATCAACCAAGGAATTATTTCCTCCCCAATCAAAACTTTTAAGAAATATACATATGTAACAATGTCTATGTATTGTAACTTAAGAAGAATATTTATGAAGTTGTTTCATTTGGAAGGATTGAAAAGCAAAATTGGGTGCATTTAAAGCAGGTTGGTCTTTTGCTGGCTACAGAAGAATCGTTAGTTTGCATTGAAATGATTAGTGGCAGTGATTGGTGGCTATTAGAAGCCTTATAGAGTTTATTCACTATTAAGGGACCAAAAATAAAGGGTGAAAAGTTAAAAAGCAACTGTAAGATCCCTTGGCCATTCGCAAATAAATATCTACATTTAGATGAATTAAGAATTGAATTCATTCAATTAGTATGTTGTGGATATTTAATAATTTATTTCAAGTGTTTTTGTATTCCCAAATATTCTATTAATTTAAAAGAACTCTAATCTGTAAATTTGGTATTTGAATACAAATGTAAATAATTTTAATGAAAACTTTCCACTTTTTCATGTTTTAACAGTTTTTCTATGTGTCTTTATTTCAGGTACGAGGATGATAAAATAAGTAATATATTTTTGTTGTTTTCAAGTTTAGGGATTAAGTCACACTGATTATATTAATATAATAAAAAAATCTCTAAATATTTTGTCATTCTTATCTAACAATTGTAATTTTTAAACTAAGTTATATCTCCTTTGGTAAACATGCCACAGTATAGCTCAGCCCTGATGTCTCAGAAAGTAGATGGGCCATGGTTGACCAGAGAGGCAGGGGCAGGCTCGATGTCAAGTCGCCATGAGAGAGCTTGGTCCCTAGAGTCGGTTACTCATCAGAATGGGCCTGCTGGTCAAGAAGTTACAGGGTGCTGTGTTTGCTTGTTTGTTTTATTATGGTTCTAGCAGTTTCCTTCATGGTTACCAGTTACGGTTCATATTCTCCGAATATACCATGTGGCATATATTGAAAGGAGTGTTCTTATTGTTAAGTGCAGGAGAGTTGGTTCCAACTCATAGGGACCCTATATAGGGTTTGAACCCCCAACCTGGCAGTTAGTAGTCTAGTGCTTATCCTACTGCGCACACCAGGACTCCATTGCAAGGATAGGAAAAGTAGTATTGTCTCAGCATCCCGTTTTTGCTGGCCATCTTACTGAGTCTGAATGGCGTAGCATGTCCACATCACAGCCAGTTATTTCCTCTCCTGGTGTGGCACTGTAGGGTAAGCACTGGACTGCTAACCGCAAGGTTAGTGACTGAAACCCACCAGTCGCTCCTCAGAAATCCTATACAGGGTTGCTGTGAGTCAGAACCCACTTGACAGCTCTTAGTAACAATAGCATTGTATACGTGGGCGCACAGTGGCTCTGTACAGTATGCCCTGGACTATGAACCACAAGGTTGGTGGTTCAAGCCCATGAGCTGCTCTTCAGTAGAAAGATGAGGCTTTTGCTCCCACAAAGACGGACAGCTTCAGAAACCCTATACAGAGTCGCTCTGAGTTCAAACCAACTTGATGGCACGTCACAACAATAATATATATATAATGTTGTTGCTGTTGAGAAAATGCACAGCAGAACATACACCAATCCAGTCATTTGTACATGTACAGTTCAGAGGCACTGATGGTATTCTTCAAGTTGTGCGATCATTCTCAGCCTCATCTTCCAACTTGTTCCTCCCCATTCAGATCGTTGCCCTGCCTCCTAAATTTCCTGTCTAATATTTCTAGTCACTACTGCCCACTGGATGCCATGTAGACACATAGATCTTATGAGAGCATAGTGCTCAAGGCAAACATTCTTACTAGTCAGGGCGGAACTAGGATTTGGTTGCAAGAAGATTTCAATGGGAAAGTTTGGGTTTAAGGTTTAAAGTTGATCTCAGGACAAGAGTATCAGGGATTCATACGACCTCCATGCCTTCAAAATAAAGAATTCAAAATCTAAAAGGTTTCAAGCTAAGTGTAAGTGAGAGAAAATGACCAGTTTAATGCAGTGGAATAAGTTCAAAGTGGTCTAGTTCTCTCATTTTGCATAGTTAGGGATTAGACTTTATAGTCTCCTTCATTCCCTTATTGGTCTCATATTATCAACTGCCCAACAGGTCTAATTTTTAATAAGTAAAAATGCAACATTTTCTGTGTAGATTTGTATTAATGGTTTTGTTATAGTTACATCAGCTTGGATAACGATGTTATTGTATCCATCTTGAAATTACAGTGTACAATTCTCTTTTTTCTTTACAAATATATATTAACTTAAAATTGAATTATTACAGTTTCTACAGCAAAAGTTACTTTGAAACGTTATCTTTGGTGACTAGAACCCTTTTATTGTGTATACATTGTGGTTGTATGTGTGTACACAGGGGCCGTATATGTGTACCTGGAAGGAGTGTGTACATGGGAGAGTTGTGCACAGAGAGTATGCATGGGGGAGTGTGCATGTACAAGGAGAGTACATGGATTGTGTGCATGCATGGGAGAGAATGTGCATGGGACAAAATACACATGGCAAAGGTAGAGTGTATGTACACAGATTGTATACATGGGAGAGTACATGGACAGAGAGCATGTATGCACCTGGAGGAGACATACATGGGAGAAGTGTGTGTGAATGGGGAAGTACATGCACACATGTACACTGTACACAAGAGTACACTTCGAAGAGAAAATTTGAGAAAAGTGCAGCATGCACTGTAAGTATATTTGCTGTTGACTTTTCCAGGGTTGTGGGGTAGTGCTGAGGGCAGGTGCAGGAGTAGGGTAAGTGGGAGGGAGACAGACCTGGACCAATCACAAGGGCTGGCCTTTCCTACAGGCTTCCTTGGGCAGTGCTGGCTGGCTGGCAGCAGAATTCAAGGCAGGCTGGGAAGAGTTATGTCTGGAGTGAAGTAGAGGAGGCCCTGATTGGGGTCATGTGATATCTTGAATTTACTTGATAGGACTTTTAGATCCAACATCTTAATTTCTACCAAGCGATTGGGTTGTTGCTGTTAAGTGCTGTTGAGTCAGTTCCAGCCCATAGCGACTGGTGAGCTTGAACTGCTGACCTTTGCAGGAGTTCCTGCTCTCCGCGGGGGTTGTGAGACACGAGCGAATACGCGGACGGAAACATCGGGTGAAGAAATGAATGAATACAATCGAAAGGCTTTTGAACTTGCTGTGATGTCCAGCTATGCTCTCCAGCTTCTGCCCCTGCTTCTGCTCTCTGCTCTCTGCTGTCTGCCCTCTGCTCTCTGCTCTCTGCTGTCTGCCCTCTGCCTTCTCCCTCCTGCTCTCTGCTTCTTCTGTCACTTCTACTTCCTTCTGCCTCTACTGCCTTCTACCACTTCCTTCTTCCTCTGCTTCTTTCTGCCTCTACTGCTCTCTCCTGCCTCTGCTCTCTCTCCCTTCTCTCTCTTTCTCTTTCT